AATAACTCGATAATACGAGTCTAATGATTAAAATGTCACAACTGTGCGGTATTTTGTTGTCGAATGTCGAGATCGGTATATAAGAAGCTTAAAAGGGCGCCTAAAAAAAGAACAGTTAGTGAAACTAAGGCGATTATTGATGCAAAAAAAAATCATAACTCCCTTAGTTTCCAATCGATTTCGAGAAATAAAGAAGCATTGGATTCGTATTTTAAAGCGTCACAAACTTCCTTTCCTAACTTTTTCTNCAGTAAAAGATATAGTAGACAAAATAAATTTGGACAAAATAGTGTCACAATGGGCAGCGTTAAAATGCCGTCGAATAGCACAGTAATTTGTATTTTTTGTTAAATGTTGGGTGTTAATAATTTATATGCATGTGTGTTGTTATTAATAGATCTGTTTTTGACGAGGCATCTACAAAAACACAAAGGTGCAGCAGAGTTTTTTTTCTATTTCAACAAATCATGCAGTATTTGAGATGATTTACATTAAATACATATTGTTACACAACGGGGGTCTAATGGGACACTGTCCAGATAGACCCCGATGCTGGCGCCCCATTAGTCCCCAAGTTGCACGGGAATAAACAAAAATATTTTTTCTAGGTTCAATTCACAAATACCTAATATCTAACTGCATTATATGAAAGTAAACGTATTAATATCCATAATTCACTTTTTGTTTTGAAAGAAACTTCAGCACAGGATGTAACCGGCTGGTTACTTTTCAACTCGCTTTACTGTTTCTTCTCGAAATATTGTATTTGGGGGTGGTTCTTCTTATCTAAACTAAGGGTTGTTGGGGGCCGGCTAGCTTCAGTCGATAATTCTTCTGGCCTCAAGGAGAGGGGAAAGGATAAATGAATAAAAATCAATAATCTTTATTAATACCTGTTAGGTTCTTTTTCTCTTAGAAATCGCCTTTTAACTGTAAATAACACATATTAAGAGAAATGGGGGCGAGGCGGTACTTTCCTGTAAAAGTAGGGCTAACTCATTCATACACAAAAAGTCACTGCACACAAATGCTGTATTTACTACGTGAATTAAAATCAAAAGATTTACTCTAAAACCGCTGAGTACAGGAAGAAACTTAATTCAGATTTCATAAATTATCATTTATCATTTAATCGCAAGTCAAAACAAAACTGCTGTAAATGCGTGTAGTAACGCTTCCAGGCTCGAGTCGTTAAAATGAATACAAACAATGCTAATAAGCACTGATCTGAATGCAACACTAGTGGATAATTAAATCGCCTTTACAACCACACCACTTTAGAATGTTCTATAAATAAACTACAATGCAATAAGTCTACCACGGGGCTGATAACAACGCACAAAAACTACAACGCCATATTGTTTAGAAGTTCTATAAATAAGTATAAATAAGCAACAATGCAATAATTCTACCACGGAGCTAATAACAACGCAAAATAACTACAACGCAATATTGTTTATAAATACCTCTAGTTCATAAGTGCACCAGGGCTTGGAGGATAACTTTGTCGCACGATCGATGTGGAAGTCGAATGAATTCGGACCGCCCACTGCAGGCTGCTATTCGCTTTTTAGTTGGGCCAATCACTGCAGGCTGGTTTAGCTTGGTCTCCTTTCGGTACTCTCTAGCTGGACTACGCACGGACCGCAGACGGAACAAGCTACTGTTACGACGACTAGGAGAGGGGTTGCAACTTCCACCCCACCATCCACTAGCGCCCTATTGGCCGCGTCGCCAGACGCCTCTACCGGAAATCGTTTATAAGCAGCGCACCGACAGGGGAACTTCACTTGTGCCTGGGCAAGCCTACCTTACCCTACACAAGCGACTGAGGCTGGTCGCTTGGGCTCAAGTACCGTCTCCGCACGCCATCACTTCCCGGCTTGACCGTAGTCAAGTCCGGCGCCATCCCACGTGCCAGAAGCGATCTTATATATGTACATATAGCCTCTGTATTATTTGTAAATATTGTGTAATATACGTTTTCAACCTCCGTTTGCCACTTACGTTACCCCGCCTGGTAACAATTGGCGCCCATACGTGTGAGTCAACCAGCAGCATCGCGCTCTGAGGATCTACGCCCACGCTCCCGCGACAGCCGACGCGCAACACCATGAATACGAGGAGCAGGAACACCCCGACGTCCAACTCCGGCGCCGACGAAGGTATCGACACTCAAACAACGGAGATGACCCCGGCAATCAACCCCGGTCTGGACCCGGCAACCCCGTCCAGTGGCGCCCAACACTCTCAACACACCCTCGACATGCTAAAGGCGCTGACCGACGCCCTCCAGAACGCGCAGAAAACCGCATCACCGGACCTACCGACCTTCAGCGGCGACCACCTGGAGGACCCAACAGTCTTCTTCAGCACGCTCGAGCAGACAATCCAAACCACCGACCCGGCGGAAAAGTTAAAAACAGCAGCAGCACAACTAAAAGGGGAGGCTGCGAAATGGTGGAACAGTTACGAGGCATTTTCACCGACATACAACGACCTAAAGAACTACACCCGCGAAAAATACGACAGCAGCAAGATTCGCGGGAAGATGCAATCAGAATTCTTCGGCCGAGAACAAGGAGCAGAGTCGCCGCAGCAATTCCTCCAGAGGAAGGCACAGCTAGCAAAACGGCTGAAGATCCCGATCGGCGAGCACCTCGAGCTACTGAGAGACCTGCTGCACCCACGCATTAGAGTAGCCTTTTTAACCACAACACCCACTTCACTCCTCGACTTGGTGCGTCACGCCGAGGAAATCGAAAACTGCAACAAAGCGCTACCTCGAAACAATCAACCCAGACCATCGCCACCAACCCCCGCCGACAGACCTCCCAACACACCAAAGTGCCACCACTGCCCGGAATATCACTTCCACCGAGACTGCCCAGTACTGACCCGCCGCCGAGACCAGGGAAACGGGGCAGCGGTCGGGAACAATGCCCGGCCGTCCACCTAATCCAGACTGCGACCCGACCCAACCTACCAACGCTGGCAGTCAAGGTACGCGGAAAAAGCGTAAGAGCTCTCCTCGACTCCGGATCATCCCATAACTTCATCCAGAAGGAGCTCGCGTGGAAAATCCACCATAGCAACCACCAAACAGCCGGCCTAGCGAACCCCCGCCATCAGCTGGAAGTCATCGGCACATCCAGAGTCGAGTACACGCTCAACGACAAGCAAGAATCGGACGACTTCCTGGTGACACCAAACCTTGTCGTGCCCATGATCTTGGGACAGAAGTGGCTCCAAGAACATCGAGCGGTGCTGGATTACGAGAGAGCGTGCATCCACTGGGGAACCCATACAAGGCAGACAACACACTGGGACCAAGCTCCGAACCGCGGCCCAACAACGAGCGACTCCATAAACTTCGCCGGAGTCAAGCACGGGTTCCAACCACCACTCGATCGACGCCTGGCCACACTGCTGGAAACTTTCGGTAGCACACTTGCCGATCCTGCAACGCCCACAACAACAGCATCCACCACACATCGCATCCGAGTCACCAAAACAACGCCCTTCCGACTTCCGCCATATCGACATTCGCCAAACAAAAAGAAGGTCATCGCGGATGAAGTGGAAGGACGAATTTACAACACGTACAAGAAATAAACATGTGGCCACATTTATGGTTATGTCTGGGAGTGAGTACTCAAAGTTGAAGATCGGAAACTATGGAAGAACTGTCCCAACAGACCCTTGTCCCATTAGCCCTCAGTCTCCTCTACTTAACTATAGGATTGAAAATAATTGCATCTAAAGCTTTCAATTCAAAATAATTACAAATTTGTTAGTCGCTTGTACTGTCTGAATAGAAACCTTCACCTTCTTTTATTAAGGGATTTTGGAGATTTGCCAAAGCTCGCACAACTTTGAAACCCGCATCGGCATGCTGTAGCATATTGTTTGGAAATGAATTGAATATTCATGAGGCATATTGCTCTCATGAACGTTTTCGCTAACGATACACTCTGTTCTTTTTATTTGCTCCGCTGTAAATTGGTTTCTTTAAACAAAAATGTGGACACTTACAGGTAGTATGTCGCCATTAAGAAAACCATTATCGTTCAAAGTTATATCTGCAGGTTCCATCTACTAAGGAATTCCGCAATATTGAACAATTTTTTCATCACTTGTTGATCCAGGATTTGGAGTCACACCAACTAAACCTTTCCAAGTATTATGGTGTTGGTAGGTACTGTAAGTATCTTTTTGTGCAGCCATAGATTTTCTAGACACGTCTGCATATATTTTAGTACCACCTAACATAATTCTGCTATTTTTAATGTACTGAAACAACCAATATAGCAAACAGCTGGTTCTTTTGTCGGCTTGGAATCACATTCATAAAATTATTAAATTTAAAACTTCATGTAAAATATACACCCACGTTATAACATTTGTGACCGTCGCTTGCAATACATTGAATCTCACAACCAGATCATAAGCTCCGTTCAGAGTGGGAGCGTCGGGCGTAGCGTCGCGTCAAGCGTTGCGTCGCGTTAAGCGTCGCGCAGCGTACGTAGCGTCAAGACATTCATAGTGACAGCGTCATCTACTGAACGTTGGACTAGCGCCAAGCGGTTTGAAATTCAGTTCAGTTTACAATATGGCCCCAAGAAAAGCAGTTCGTTTGTGTGCGCTAATGTTCTTGCTGGAGACACCATATTTTAGATTAAAAAGGAGAAAAGTTGGTATTCACCCTATAAACAGGGGAAGATATGTATTCGGTGAATTTCATCATTTGTATCGCGAGCTAAGGATGTATCCTGATAGATTTTTCAATTATCTAAGAATGTCCGTCAGAACCTTTGACTATCTGTTGGGAAAGGTTAGCCATCGTCTGGAAAAAACTGTAACAAATGTTGTGAAAAAGAGATTTATTTCACCTGTTGAACGAGTTGTTATTACTATAAGGTAAGAAAAAATATTTATAGTTTTTTTTTATTACACGAAACAATACAAAGTATACCTATATTATAATTGTAACAACCTCGTTACTGGTAAGGGTCTTGTCCATGTCCTGGAAAGAGCGTTGTACTGGAAAGGGTATTGGACTCGGAAAAGGGCGTGCTTGATGTCGAAGGATTTCTGGACACAGTAGAGTGATGAGGGCTAGGGTTTTGTAATGATAACAAGTGATGGCTAGGGTTTTCAGGAGGTAACAGGTGATAAAGGCTAGAGTTCTTTGGCGATAACAGGTGATTATGGTTAGGGTTTTCAGGAGGTAACAAGTGATGGAGGCTAGAGTTTTGTGGCGATATCAGATGATGATGGCTAGGTTTTTTTGAAGGTAACAAGTGATGGAGGGTCGGACTTAGCGAAGGTAACATTGATATTTGTAAATTATTGTTTTGGGCAGTTGTTGCTCGAGTCATTTTTGATTTGTTATTTTCTGCGGATTCCAGTTCATCTGAGATAACGGTTTGAATTTTACTCCTTAGCTTTAACCTCTGTATTTGATTAAAGTTTTTCATGTACGGTATCAAACTCTTAAAAAACAACAATTCTTCACAGTCTGCCTCCTCTGCGTCATTTTTCAAATGCTGTGTTAGTAGGTTTAATTTTTTATTTTCAATTTCTAAAAACTTTCCCTCTCTTACGTCACCTATTCTTTTTCTAGTTTTTCCTTTTCTGTGCTGGGAAATTGAAGATGAAGCGGATGCTGATGATAATGGTCTCTCTTCTCGTGATACTGACACAGATGGTGGAGAGTTGACATATGTAGTGTCCATGTCTGATTGTGTGTCTGTTTCATCGTCTTTATCCCCTTCTAGGTCACAAATATTTTCATCGACCTGACTGGACTCGTCCAAACTTGGTAGATTTCCAGACTTAACACCAGGAATTAACAAATCTTTCAGGAAACTCATCATGTCAAAATACGGCCAGTTAGATTTGTAATGGTCTGCAGGAGCTCCCGAACGCAAAACTGGAACTTGTTTCAGTTCTCGTCGATATTTATCTTTTTTGTTTTTCCATCGAGCTGCAACTGTTTCCTCTGAAAATAAAGCTTACTAAGTAACTGCTAAATAATGAATATCGTTGTTTTTTTCAGGTTTCTTGCAACTGGAACAACTTATAAACATTTGGCACACGAATTTAGAATCGGATCTTCAACAGTCTCGATAATAGTAAAAGAAACATGTTCAGTTATTTGGGAAGAACTAGTAGAAACATATATGCCTTTGTGCGGCCAACAACAACTGGAGAAAATCATTGAAGAATACAATACGCTATGGAATTTCCCTAATTGTTTTGGATCGATTGATGGGAAGCATTGTCGCATTAGATGTCCACCCAATAGTGGCACAACCTATTTTAATTATTTGAAATATTATTCAATAGGATTGCAAGGGGTTGCAGATGCCAACAAAAAATTTATTACTATTGAAGTGGGCTCGCGTGGATCAGAAAGTGATGGTGGAGTATTTCAATCCTCAGCACTCTATAATTTATTGGAATCCAATCGATTCAATGTACCTCCAGAACGAGCACTGCCTAATTCCAATAGTGTTCTACCAAATGTTATGATAGGGGACGAGGCATATCCTTTGAAAAAATATTTAATGAGACCTTATCCGCGTCCAAAAAATGGAGTTTTAGAAAATGATAAGCAAATTTTCAACGATCGCTTATCACGCGCTCGAAAATGCATTTGGTATCTTATATCAAAAGTTCCGAATTTTTGACACAAACATTTTACTCAAACGAGAAACAGCGATCATTGTTATCAAATGCAACGGACCTATAGACAGGACTAAACGCCACTTTCCATACGATTCTACAATAGCTATACTCCGTTCAATAGTTATTGTCCCAGTAGTAGGCCGTGTTAGGGTGATGAAATTATGACAAAAATAGAAAAAAATATATTTATTTCTATCTACAAAAACTACACATTCATTTCGTAGAGCCTACGTAGATCTCTTCAGTGTCTAGTACGTTGGCGCGCACAGTTTCCAAATTTCTGATCGTTTCGGCCAGCTCATCCGATAACTGTGTGGTCAGCGTCTCCAATACCACTTGATGCTGATAGATTCGGTGAAGCTCCTGAAGCCATCGCATGCTGTGCTCCTTAACCTCAATTAAATTCGCCGGTAAGAGCAGCATTTGTTGTTCAGCATGCGTTGACTGCTGATGATGAAGGTGGCCCGGATTCTGCATTTGTGGTGGTGGTGGTAGATGTTGGTCTGACGGGGGACGTGTCTGATGTCTCTCAAGATTTTCGCTACATTGTTGGGGTGTAAAGATCTAATTTGATTTATTATTGCATTTAGGGTTGTTTAGAAGTTGTGTTGCTAACTGCAAAAATAGTATTATTTTTCCTTAGCTTAAATGGTACCTTAAGCCTAATTTCTTGAAGTAATTCGGAAGAGTTTAACAAATTGTGTAAAATTTTGGATTTTAATGATCTCGGTACAACGTAGTGCATGTTGCTCTGTTTATCTAGTGTTTATAATTACCTTTGGCGTAATTCTGCCAAAGTGTTATTAAGAAAAGTTGTTCAGAATGAAAAGTTATGGCGTTATGCAATCAATCAATTTTCAAAATAATTGGCCTACTTTGATAAAATCCAGTATTGGTCAGTTTTCTTGTGTGTGTACTGCATTTTATCAAAGTACGCCGATCATTCTGAAAATTTGCATAACGCCATAACTTTTCATTCTGAACAACTTTTCTTAATAACACTTTGGCGTACCTACTGTGAACGGAAAAAATCGAAAGTAAACTTAAGATCAGTTTTACACAACGCAGGGCGGAAATCCAAAATATGAAATTCCGATACGAAAATGTTTGGTCAATCATACCTATTGTAAACTCAATCCTGGGACATACTGTATATTAAACAAAAAAACAAACACTTAGAACTAACAATAAAAATTTTTAATATTTTTGATATAATTTCTGGTGGAGTTCCCCCGGCCACGGTTCCCCCGCTGACGGCCCCGATCTCTCCGACCGCGACGATGTCCATGGTGCCCACTGCTGCTAGGGCCCCGAGAGACCCAGCTCCTCCTCGAAGGCCCTCAACCGCTCGTTAGTGGTCACCACGTAGCGCTCTAGCAGTTCAATTCTCTCCGCTGGATCGTTGCCGACTGCCTGTAACCATGTAACTCTGTAGTACAAATTATCAAATGTTAATAGTAAATTTAATATTGTGCAGCGCCATGCATTAGCTTCTTTACTCCGGATATAAAATTGATTATAATGTATGTAATGTATTTACCAAAATTGGAGCGCCTACGTGGCTTCTGGCCGGCGGCACTCCATCGGGGCTGATTGTGTTAGACCGCGGGTTCTCCGCTATGAATTATCGTTATTTAAATGAGTATTACAACAATTTTAAAGAGAGATTACCAGCAGCAGGCACTTCCATGGCCCCCTGTGGAGGGATCAGCGCCTCCGGTGGAGGGATCGGCGGGGGTGGCACCATCAAAGCATTCGCCTCCTGTCGGGGCTCCTCCGGACGCTCCGGTTCGTTTACTATAAGCACATTTTTGTAAAATGTTATGGAACTAAATGATTTCTTACCGTTTCGTGCTTTTTTACTGCGCGGCATTTGCTGCAATATTAAAAAAATAGGAAATTTAATTAATGTAATGGAATGGTAAATCTTATATACCGGTTAAGTATACTTCGTTTTACTTGCTTTCGGAACAGACATGCCTATGAAGCTAAAGCACCTTTCCTCATAATATTTAACAATAAAATTTCGCAAATGCTTGCCTATTGTAACTTCGTTTGTTAGTTAGTATTTGTAAACGAAATATACTCAATTAGTATGTAGGTAATTATAGAATGTACGCTCCGTAAGGTAAGTGTACTTACACGTTTCTAGTTCGCGTTCAAACAGAAAATGGCTTGTTTCTTACTTGTTACTTCCACCCCCTTTGGTAGTCATAAAAATCACCTGAAAACAAATGCGAAATTGTTTAGGGCCGCTACCGACGCCGACTGTTGTTCACGTGATTTTTATTGCTTTTTTGTTTGGACCCGGATGGTCTGTTGGTATTGTTCTACACAGTTTTCATTTTTTCAATATCATTTTAAATTTAAAAATTAGAAAGAATTTCTTGGAAGCTCGCACCTATAACATATCACATATAACCCTTCGATATAGAGGGTTAATATGTACTGTTTCGCTAATGCCATAAAAATGTATCATACATCGACATTCGAGTACACGGGAAGCATTCGCAGCTCTTGGTATTTTTCCCAACGGCCTGAGTGCTTGAACAACGATTTTCACACGCCTTAGATATTTGATCAAGTGCCACTTTTCGATTTCAAACTTAAGCGGGATTCGGTTAGCTTATGGAGGCAGCTATTTTTAAACGTTGCCGGGTTGATATTATTCGTGTTTTTGTAGTGTGAATTTAGCCTAGAATGTAGGGGTTAAGTACACTCGAATAAAAAATATAATATTACTAGCAGGCCCGATGAACTTCGTACCGCCCTTGGCAAATCTCGATTTTAGTGAACAAAAGTATGCCTACAACCTTCATCGGGTAAAAAGATGTACCTATACAAATTTTCACGTCATTTAGTGCAGTTGATCTAAAATTATAAGGGCACAACAGTTCTGAAATAAGCAATACATCATACCCGCTTTGCCACCAATTTTTATATATAATTAAGAGGTATCCTCGCAAATACAGTGAAACAAAAACGTACCCCGAGGTGTTTGAAGATTGTTGAATAAAAATGATTGTTTTGATAATGTAGTTAGAACCGTGTTCTGTGTGGTTACAATATTGTAAAAGGCGAAAAAAGCAGAAAGAAACTTGATTCGACTCAATAATAATAATAATGATTTATTGTTCAGATATTTTATACATCCAATTACAGAACAAAATGAACTAATATATTGATACTCTCTTCGCCCCGCACATTGACACACAAAAGAAGACATCGCTCGACTTCGGCGGCTGCGCCGCCTCGCCTCACGCATGTACCCAAGTCGCCGTGGAATCTAAAATATGAACGAACACTTTAGGGGACCAATGTAAAAAATTTGCTGTGGCCAGCACAGATACCACCCGCACACCTGCGTTTCTGCCCAAAAGCTTTTCAGATCTTCCTTTTAGGTCTAGGAATATGTGTACCAAATTTGTTTCAGTACAGACCGACCCCCAATGCAATACCTCCCTTACCAACGTGAATGTGCGGGTTGTGTCAAAGTGTCTATATACATATCTACAAAATTTGGTGCAATTCGACGCCTTACTTACTAACGTGCGGGTGGTAAAGACCGTATCGTCCTAACCATCGGCGTCTCCCAATAAACGCCAAAATATGAAAAAACTGGCTTCTGTATGCAATTGGGGGTGAGGGAGGGGGGGGGGTACCATAATACCCTAATATAAATGGCACTCCTCACGTTTGTATAGAAACCGTCAACACATTGCCCGGCTTCATCTCGCACATTAACACACAAATGATGATGTCACCGTGGATTATACAATATGGAATAATTTATAAGAGGTATGACGCTGGAACGCTTCACTTTAGCACCGACTCAACTTTTGTAGCGTTATCACACGACGAAATAAACACATTCATCACAGGACGATATGTTGGCGCCCATGAAGCTATGTGGCGAATCAATGAATTTGAAATGCATTATCAACCACACACAATAATCAAACTCGAATGTCACCTTCAAAATCAACAAAGAATTATATTTAATGAAGATCAAGTAGGCAATAAGTTGGTACAGGAAAACGTTCGCCAATCCAAACTACTTACTTGGTTCCGTCTTAATCAAATAGATGAATTTGCACACCAGTACCTTTACACTGAAACCACCATTGCATTACACTTGGTCAAATAATGGGCGGTGTTGGCAAAAACGCAAACAAAATTCACCAATGGTTGTAAGCCGCTTGTACGCTGTAAATCCAAAAAATTCTGAGCCGGATGCGAAAAAACTTTTATACAACGTTCACTAATTGCCAAACTCGGTTCAAGTTGCATTGCTATGGCTTATACAGGCATTGCAGCGTCTTTGCTACCAGGTGGTCGAACAATACATTCTCAATTAAAGTTGCCTGTTCCCACAAGATCAGACTCCGTTCCTGAAGTTAGACGTAATTCTGCCATTGCACAAAGAATTAGATCTTCAAAACTGATTATATGCGATGAGGCGCCAATGATTAGCTCTGATGTTCTTACGGTAATTAATAGACTATTTAAAGATATAGTTAATGGCTCCGGTAAGGAAAGACACTTCGGAAACAAGTTTATTTTACTTAGTGGCGACTTTCGACAAACACTTCCCGTTGTTGCTCATGCCGGTCGTGCAGTTACGGTTGAATCATCAATTAATTCCAATCCACTTTTTACTCATTTCCAAAAACTAGATCTTCAAGACTTCAAACCAACATGAGACCCAATGAAGATGATGGTGCGTTCTCAAAATTTCTATTAGATATTGGAGATGGCAAATATCCAGCTCATCCAGAAATCAGAGGTCTCATTCAGGTTCCCGAAAAAATTATAGGTCAAGGTATTGAATCAATGCTTAACTTTATTTTCGGAAACATTATAGACACATTGTATCTGGAAGAAATCATCGATAGAGCAATACTTACCCCAATAAATAATAACGCAACAATCATTAATGAAAAAGTCCTTGACAAACTTCCAGGTGAGCCACAAATATATTTTAGTATAGATACGCAAGATCCCCAAGAACATGAACAACTACCACCGGACTTTCTTA